ATCATATCCCCCCCCCTTATGTATTATACATGGAGATCATATCCCCCCTTATGTATTATACATGGAGATCATATCCCCCCCTTATGTATTATACATGGAGATCATAGCCCCCCTTATGTATTATACATGGAGATCATATCCCCCCTTATGTATTATACATGGAGATCATATCCCCCCTTATGTATTATACATGGAGATCATATCCCCCCTTATATATTATACATGGAGATCATATCCCCCCTTATGTATTATACATGGAGATCATATCCCCCCTTATGTATTATACATGGAGATCATATCCCCCCTTATGTATTATACATGGAGATCATATCCCCCCTTATGTGTATTATACATGGAGATCGTATCCCCCCTTATGTATTATACATGGAGATCATATCCCCCCTTATGTATTATACATGGAGATCATATCCCCCCTTATGTATTATACATGGAGATCATATCCCCCCTTATGTATTATACATGGAGATCATATCCCCCCTTATGTATTATACATGGTGATCATATCCCCCCCTTATGTATTATACATGGAGATCATATCCCCCCTTATGTATTATACATGGAGATCATATCCCCCCCTTATGTATTATACATGGAGATCATATCCCCCCTTATGTATTATACATGGAGATCATATCCCCCCCTTATGTGTTATACATGGAGATCATATCCCCCCCTTATGTATTATACATGGAGATCATATCCCCCCCTTATGTATTATACATGGAATCATATCCCCCCTTATGTATTATACATGGAGATCATATCCCCCTTATGTATTATACATGGAGATCGTATCCCCCCTTATGTATTATACATGGAGATCATATCCCCCCCTTATGTATTATACATGGAGATCATATCCCCCCTTATATATTATACATGGAGATCATATCCCCCCTTATGTATTATACATGGAGATCATATCCCCCCTTATGTATTATACATGGAGATCATATCCCCCTTATGTATTATACATGGTGATCATATCCCCCTTATGTATTATACATGGAGATCATATCCCCCCTTATGTATTATACATGGAGATCATATCCCCCCTTATGTATTATACATGGAGATCATATCCCCCCTTATGTATTATACATGGAGAGCATATCCCCCCTTATGTATTATACATGGAGATCATATCCCCCCCTTATGTATTATACATGGAGATCATATCCCCCCTTATGTATTATACATGGAGAGCATATCCCCCCTTATGTATTATACATGGAGATCATATCCCCCCCTTATGTATTATACATGGAGATCATATCCCCCTTATGTATTATACATGGAGATCATATCCCCCCTTATGTATTATACATGGAGATCATATCCCCCCTTATGTATTATACATGGAGATCATATCCCCCCTTATGTATTATACATGGAGATCATATCCCCCCCCCCCCTTATGTATTATACATGGTGACCATATCCCCTCAATAGAGAATACATTAAATTCCTCTAATCTTTCCTCATAGCTGATCTCTTCCATGCATCTTATCAGTTTGGTTGCCCTTCTCTGTACTTTCTCCAGTTCCCCAATGTTCTTTTTGTGAATTGGAGCCCAAAACTGAACTGCATATTCCAGATGAAGTCTTACTAACGATTTGTACCGGGGTAAAATCTTTTTGTGTGCAGCAGCCCCTCCCCCAGCCCCCACAATACTTACCTGAACCCCATCTCGATCCAGCATCGGCCGCCCTGAGTCTCTCCCTGCTCACTTGCTGAGACAGCAGTGGGAGCCATTGACTCCTGCTACTGTCAGTCAAAGCCAGTGAGCCAATGAGGAGAGAGCAAGGGGGGGGGGGGGCTGAGCCGGGGCTGTGTGTGAATAGACACACAGAGCAGTGGCTCGGGAGGGAGATTTCCCAGTACTTTTTTTGTCACTAGATGTCCTCAATCTGATGGCTAGTATCATTCAACCCACTTCTAAGAGCCCAAGTCATCCCGGACCAGCCCCCAACCTGCGACTGCACAGTAAAATGAGAAGCAGAACAGTGGTGACTTCATCTCTCTGTCACTTTTCTCTTTGCCGATCCTCATGCTCCTTGTGAGAACACACATTGATTGGCTCCTTATACTGCTTCTTCCTCTCATACTCCAGCTCTGCTGCTGCCAGGACTACAGGAGGCTGATACCAGTTTAAATCACTTTAAAAATACATTTAACGATGAGCTGCATTCATTTGTATCTTTGATATCTTCCCAATAAATCAGCTTTAGTTTTTCATGGAATCTGATTGGTTGGCATCAGCAACAACTCGACAGCTGAGAACTTGTTTTTTTCTTCGGTTTTTAGGAATCAGCCCCATAATGTCAATTTCCATTCAGCATTAAAAATAAACCATCAGTTGCAGCTTGCACGGGTTCAGTTTAAGTGGTAATGGCGCCGAGTGGAGCTCTTACCTAAGGAACTGATTTCTGGAAGTTATTACGGTGTTTTTCGATACCCTCCCTGTAACAGCAAATGGTATAATGGGGAGAACCTGACTGAGCGAAGATTCGTCTATAGATTTTTTTTGTTCACCCCTTCATAGATCAATGAGGATAGATACCGTGCTGGGCCATTCATTAGGCTCATCACAGCCGATGTCTTGAACACATTGATCTTACCTAGAATCACACAATTTCCCATAATTGGACAATCTGCTAAATCCCAATAAGACAGACGGGGGGGGGGGGGGGGGGGGCATTGTTGGAGGAAGATGAGATTGGCACAGGTGCAACATTTTTAAAACCTTAGTGCCCCATCCACCTTCCAATCCAACCATGAAGGTTTAAGTAGATGGACTCCTTGTCCACCATTGTCTTTTTTGCGGTGAATGCAGTGCTGGCCAAACACGAAAAATGGCCTTCAATGCCAATGCATCCCAATAGGACCTGTTGTATAAAAGATGTCAATAATCTATGTATGTGTATATATATATATATATATATATATATATATATATATACATACATACACTGCTCAAAAAAATTAAAGGAAGACTTTTTAATCCAAGTTAAGCATCAAGTCAATGAAACTCCTGGGATTTTGATCTGGTCAGGTAAGTACCAGAGGGGGTTGTTAATCAGGTTCAGCTGCTTTGGTGTTAATGAAATTAACAACAGGTGCACTAGATGGGCAACAATGAGACAACCCCCAAAACAGGAATGGTTTTACAGGTGGAGACTACTGACATTTGTTCCCTACTCCTTTTTTATAACTATTTTTCACTAGTTTTGCATTTGGCTAGGGTCAGTGTCACTACTGGTAGCATGAGGCCATACCTGGACCCTACAGAGGTGGCTTAGGCAGTCCAACTCCTAAGGGATGGCACATCAATACGTGCCATTGCCAGGTTTGCTGTGTCTCCCAGCACATTCTCAAGAGCATGGAGGAGATTCCAGGAGACAGGTAGTTACTCTAGGAGAGCTGGACAGGGCCATAGAAGGTCCTTAACCCATCAGGAGGACCGGTATCTGCTCCTTTGTACAAGGAGGAACAGGATGAGCACTGCCAGGGCCCTACAAAATGACCTCCAGCAGGCCCCATATACATACATTGGTGGTCCCTGGGAAGGATGCTTCCTTTACAGATATCTAAAAAGATCATTGGTGTCAGTCGTAGAGTATCTTAAGAGCATAAACAGGTCAAGGAACCCAAAACAATCTCTGGAGGAAATCTAGATTGAGAACAGTGGTTGAAAAAGGTTGGTCTAGGAGAAAGACCACCTTAAATTGATGGTCATTGGGGGAAGTGCCCCTTCACACTAATGGCCAATGGGAAGAATGCCTCTTGTGTGGGAAGGATGCTTCCTTTACAGATATCTACAAAAGATCATTGGTGTCAATGGTAATATGTCTGAAAGGCAAAAACAGATCATTGCTCACGCAGCCCTAAACAACCACTGGAGTTGACCCTAATGATCTTTTTGGATATCTGTAAAGAAAACATCCTTGCCATGGACCACCAGTATAAGGGGCATTCTTCCCACAAACCACCAATGTAAAGGCTGTCCCAGGGGAGGACTGACAACTCATGGGATCATGGGACCCCTGTTTCCTTGCCCAAACTCAAAAAAAAGCCTATGAAAATGGTACCAGGGGCATCTCATGGGGCCCCCTACTGACCCTGGGCCCTCGGGCAGTGCCGTTGGGCAGTTTCCAAATGGTCAGTCTGCCCTTGGGCTGTTCTTCCCATTGACCATCAATGTACAGGGGCCTTATCCCAATAACCATCAGTGTAAGGTGGTCTCTCCCCCATTGACTACCAACCTTCAGGGGGCCCTTCTCCACTGACCACCAATGAAAAGGGCATTTTTCTACTGACCACCAATGTGAGGAAGCATTCTTCCAAATTAACTAACAATGTAAGGAGGCATTCTTCCCACTGTTCATTTGTATAAAGGGGCCCTTCTCGCAATGACCATCAATGTAAGGTGGTCCTTCTCCTACAACAACTTTTCTCAGTCAACACTGTGTGGTGCCCTAAGGTTCCTCCAAAGGTTGCTAGGAGTTCATACATAGATACATGGCCACTAGCATTAATGCTCTGTTTATCTCCTTGTAAGGGGAGCATCTTTCCTACAGCCCACCAAAGTAAAGGTTATTCTTCATATTGACCATCAATGTACAGGGGGCCTTATCCCAATAGCCATCACTGTAAGGCGGTTTCTCCCCCCACTGACTACCAATCTTCAGGGGGCTCTTCTCCACTGACCACCAATGAAACAGGCACTTCTCCACTGACTACCAATGTAAGGAGCATTCTTCCAACTAAACACAAATATAAGGAGGCATTCTTCTCACTGATCACCAATGTAATGAGTTTTGTTCCCACTGACCACCAATGTAAGGAACATTCTTTCCACGGGCCATCAATGTAGGGGACGTTCCTCCTCTTGATCCAATGTAAAGAGAATTCTTCCCACTGACTGCCAATGTAAGGGGCATTCTTCCCACAGGCACTCAATGTAGGGGACATTCTTCCCACTGACCACCAATGTAAGGTGCATTCTTCCCACTGACCACCAATGTAAGCAGCATTCTTCTCACTGACCACCAATGTAAGGGACATTCTTCCCACTGACTGTCAATGTAAGGGAGCATTCTTCCCACAGGCGCTCAAGGTAGGGGGCATTCTTCCCACTGACCACCAATGTAAGGGACATTCTTCCCACTGACCACCAATGTAAAAAGCATTATTCCCACTGACCACCAATGTAAGGGACATTCTTCCCACTGACCACCAATGTAAGGGACATTCTTCCCACTGACCACCAATGTAAGGGACATTCTTCCCCACTGACCACCAATGTAAGGGACATTCTTCCCACTAATCACCAATGTAAGGGACATTCTTCCCACTGACCACCAATGTAAAAAGCAATATTCCCACTGACCACCAATGTAAGGGACATTCTTCCCACTAACCACCAATGTAAGGGACATTCTTCCCACTGACCACCAATGTAAGGAGCATTCCTCCCACTGATCACCAATGTAAGGGGCATTCTTCCCACTGACCCCCAATGTAAGGGACATTCTTCCCCACTGATCACCAATGTAAGGGACATTCTTCCCACTGATCACCCAATGTAAGGAACATTCTTCCCACTGACCACCAATGTAAGGGACATTCTTCCCACTGACCACCAATGTAAGGGACATTCTTCCCTTGACCCCCCCAATGTAAGGGACATTCTTCCCACTGACCACCAATGTAAGGGGCATTCTTCCCCACTGATCACCAATGTAAGGGGCATTCTTCCCACTGATCACCAATGTAAGGGACATTCTTCCCACTGACCCCCAATGTAAGGAGCATTCTTCCCACTGACCACTAATATATGGAGCATTTGTTGCACTGATCCCCAGTGTAATGGGGTCCTTTTCTTCCTGACCATCAGTGCAAGAGGGCCCTTCTCCAAATGACCATTAACTTAAGGTGGTCCTTCTCCAATGGACTGCCAATGTTAATTAGATTCTGGACCAATTACTGCTGTTTTTGTTTCATTGTTACTACTGAAACTAATTTTGTCAAACATGGCAACTGTGAAATATGCTAATTATGCCGCATTCCCGTATTTCTTTTATTCATTCTTATTTCATCTTACTGTTCATGCTAATACCATGCGCTGTATATAAAGTCATTACTGAGGGACTGGAAAGGATTTCAAGGCTTCCTCTAAACTAGACCTAAACTAGAACGTGTTTTTGAAATATATTTTAAAAATATTATTCCCAAATATATTGACCTATATTTGAAATACTACAATTTTTGGCTCTATTCGATGTATTTCAAAATATATTAAAAAAAAATAATAAATATTTATATAAAAGAGTCAAAGCAAAACAACTTCAAAATATACCCACAGGGAAGAAAAATATATTTTTTAAAAAATAAAAAATATTCTTCCCAAATATATTGACTTCCCAAATACTACAATTTTGGCCATATTCCAATATATTTCAAAATATATATTTAATACAATTATTTTATAAATATTTATACAAAAGAGTCAAAACAAAACAACTTCAAAATATACCCACAGGGAAGAAAAATATATTTAAAATATATTTTAAAAATACTCTTCCCAATTATATTGACCTATATTTGAAATACTGCAATTTTGGGCCCTATTCAATATATTTCAAAATATATTTCAATAAATATTAATATTTATAAAAAAGAGTCAAAGCAAAACAACTTCAAAATATACCCACAGGGAAGAAAAATATATATTTTAAAAATATTCTTCCCAAATATATTGATTTCCCAAATACTACAATTTTGGCCGTATTCAATATATTTCAAAATATATTTCAATACATATAAATATTTATACAAAAGAGTCAAAGCAAAACAACTTCAAAATTTAACCTAGACCTAAACTAGAACGTGTTTTTGAAGTATATTTTAAAAATATTCTTTCCAAACATATTGACATGTATTTGAAATACTACAATTTTGGGCCCTATTCAATATATTTCAAAATATATTTCAATAAATATATATATTTATATAAAAGAGTCAAAGCAAAACAACTTCAAAATATTACCCACAGGGAAGAAAAATATATTTAAAATATATTTTAAAAATATTCTTCCCAAATATATTGACCAATATTTTGAAATACTACAATTTTGGGCCCTATTCAATATATTTCAAAATATATTTCAATAAATATTAATATTTATAAAAAAGAGTCAAAGCAAAACAACTTCAAAATATACCCACAGGGAAGAAAAAATATATTTTAAAAATATTCTTCCCAAATATATTGACTTCCCAAATACTACAATTTTGGCCATATTCAATATATTTCAAAATATATTTCAATACATATAAATATTTATACAAAAGAGTCAAAGCAAAACAACTTCAAAAATTTAACCTGGACCTAAACTAGAACGTGTTTTTGAAGTATATTTTAAAAATATTCTTTCCAAATATATTGACATATATTTGAAATACTACAATTTTGGGCCCTATTCAATATATTTCAAAATATATTTTAATAAATATAAAATATTTTTTATACAAAAGAGTCAAAGCAAAAAACAACTTCAAAATCTAACCTAGACCTAAACTAGAACGTACTTTTGAAGTATATTTTAAAAATATTCTTTCCAAATATATTGACATGTATTTGAAATACTACAATTTTGGGCCCTATTCAATATATTTCAAATATATATTTCAATAAATATATATATTTATATAAAAGAGTCAAAGCAAAACAACTTCAAAATATACCCACAGGGAAGAAAAATATATTTAAAATTATATTTTTAAAAATATTCTTCCCAAATATATTGACCAATATTTGAAATACTACAATTTTGGGCCATATTCAAAATATATTTCAATAAATATTAATATTGATAAAAATGAGTCAAAGCAAAACAACTTCAAAAAATAAGACCCACAGGGAAGAAAAATATATTTAAAAAATATTCTTCCTATATTGACTTCCCAAATACTACAATTTTGGGGTCTATTCAATATATTTTCAAAATTCATTTCAATAAATATATATATTTATATATATATTCAAAATATATTTTAATAAATATAAATATTTATATAAAAGAGTCAAAGCAAAACAACTTCAAAATCTAACCTAGACCTAAACTAGAACGTGCTTTTGAAGTATATTTTAAAAATATTCTTTCCAAACATATTGACATGTATTTGAAATACTACAATTTTGGGCCCTATTCAATATATTTCAAAATATATTTCAATAAATATATATATTTATATAAAAGAGTCAAAGCAAAACAACTTCAAAAGATACCCACAGGGAAGAAAAATATATTTAAAAAATATTCTTCCCAAATATATTGACTTCCCAAATACTACAATTTTGGGGTCTATTCAATATATTTCAAAATATATTTCAATAAATATATATATTTATATAAATATTAAATATATTTTAATAAATATAAATATTTATATGAAAGAGTCAAAGCAAAACAACTTCAAAATCTAACCTGGACCTAAACTAGAACGTGTTTTTCCCCGTTCCGTACACATTACCTTCACACTGAGCAGTATGTTTTTCCCCCCCCCCCCCCCCCCCTTTTTCTATAGATTAAATATTTCTATCTGCTTTCTGCATTAAATGTAAGCCAATGGGGGCTCCACAACCTACGAAGAAGGGAAGTCTGTGCTAAAGGGGGCTTCACCGGAGAAGGAGCTTCAACTGGGGATGGCGCTAAATCTACGCTAGGAGATCGCTGGATTTCCGGCAATGGTTTGAGTGGAGCCCGGAGTCACGGAAATCATGTACTGTAACCAGAGGGGTATTTAGTTTTTTTTTTTTTTTTTTTTAAATCAAACCCCCCCTCCCCCATCCCCTGATAGAGAGAGCCTGACACCGACCAACACCAGTGACCAACAACACCCCTGGCCCCCCACCCGAGAGAGCCTTCCACTAACACCAACCTCCCCCGTACATTCACCTTCACAGCTCTGGAACGAGAGTCAGGCTTTGCATTCACCATTAAGCAGCCCGCAGCCTCTTTCAGATCCCAGCTGGTCCCCATGCTGTATATGTCCCTTCTTCTTGGGTGGGTGCTGCCCCCCTGAAAAATGCCGCCTTAGGCAGATGCCTTGTTTGCCTTGTGGTAAATACGCCCCTGACTGTAACCCAAGCTAAGTCATTTTTTTGTGTATACCTCCTGCATACAGACCAATGTTAGTGGAAAGCTAGGTAGCGTGTGCACATGTGTGTTGTATGAATATCTGTAATAGTCTGTGGGGGAGATTTACTAAAACTGGAGAGTGCAGAATCGGGTGCAGCTCTGCACAGAACCAATCAGCTTCCAGCTTTTATTGTTGAAGCCTAATTGAACAAGCTGAAGTTAGGGCTCGTTCACACTTGACTTTATTTCTAACTCTTGCCAAGCGCCCCTATAGCGTCTGACAGGCGTTAGACAGGCGTTTGGGAAGCGTTTTTAACGCTCCTCAAACGCTCCCCGAAACGCCCCATGCGCGATTTTAGCAGCGGTTGATAGACGTTTGCCAATCGTTAAAACCGCACCACAAGCGCCTATAATGAAGTTAAATGGTATTAACGCTCCGCAACCGCACCGCAAACGCTTGCCAGGTGTTTGCGGAGCGGCACCATAGACTTGAATGGGAGGCTTCAACTCCTCCTGACTCGACACGAAGCGTATGTTTTGCCAAGACGCGACGCTAACGCTTCAGTGTGAACAGCACTGTGTGCTGCCATGTGTAGAATTTTCACAGGCGTTTGAGAAGCGTTAAAAACGCGACCCAAATGCCTGTCTGACGCCTGCTGACAAAGCTAGTGTGAACGTAGCCTTATACCCTGTGGGGGGGATTTACTAAAACTGGAGAGTGCAGAATCTGGTGCAGCTCTGCACAGAAACCAATCAGCTTCCAGCTTTTATTGTCAAAGCTTAATTGAACAAGCTGAAGTTAGAAGCTGATTGGCTACCATGCACAGCTGTGTCAGATTCTGAGTGCTCCAGGTTTCATAAAAATCCCTCTTGTATTGTTTTCCTACAATTGTAAGTAGTTTGTGTGTACGGAATTCTTGTTTAGAAAAGCACATTAATATAGAAACAGGGGGTTCTGCTTCCTTGCTTTACTGCAAAGTGACCTAAAAGAGTCAAAGCAAAACAACTTCAAAATATACCCACATGGAAGAAAAATATATTTGAAATATATTTTAAAAATATTCTTCCCAAATATATTGACTTCCCAAATACTACAATTTTGGCCATATTCAATATATTTCAAATATATTTCAATAAATATATATATTTATATAAAAGAGTCAAAGCAAAACAACTTCAAAATATACCGAACAGGGAAGAAAAATGTATTTGAAATATATTTTAAAAATATTCTTCACAATATTATATATTATATATATAATATTAAAAATATTATATTTAAAAACATATTTCAACATATATATATATATATATATATATATATATATATATATATATATAAAAATACAGATATATATATATTCAAATATACTGTATTTCTTTCAAAATACAAA